AAAACACTATTTGCATTATTTTGTGAAAAGGCACATGCAGAAGAGATAAGTGAAGTAGATGGTTTCTAAATCCTTTCCAGTTCCCGCCTTTATCATTGTTTCCCAGAGCACATTGAAGTTAAATGGCCTTTTGGCAACCTAGAGTTCCATGAAGTGCAAAAAGTCAGATTTATTAACTGAGCTAATATTTGGAAGCGTCTTAGAATACTGTCTAAGTGCTAATGTGCTTATTAAGTAAATAAAATATACTGATACTAATCTAGCCAAATGGGACTGCTGTGGGACCCATCTCATCGTCCCACCCCTTGACTTCAGGCATGCTCTCTACCCAGATGCTCTCTAGTGCCCTCTTGCGGTGCCACCCCAACCTCACCCTCCTTCCATCTCACCCAGCAAAACACTGCACACTTTTCAGTTGATTTAAGAACCCTGCATTTCTGCATAATTTGTCTCACCAGAGTCCCTAATGTAAACCCTTGTTGTTGAATCCACTGAATGCCTCCCGGCCTGTATCTGAGGAGACCTCATTAGCATGCAGCACTGCTGACCACACCTGGGAGGTCAAGGTACCATTCTACCACCCTCCTCCTCCTTCCCCACCCTCTCCTCCACAGGCAGTCCTTCTTCTTCTTCTCATACTCCAAATCCTGATGCCCTGTCTGTGGGCTCTGTCACAGATTCTCCCCTTCCTGCTCCAGTGACTTTTCACAGCTAGGGTTACCTTCTGCTCCCACTTGTCTGCAGTCTCTGAAGGAAGGGAGACAAATAGGTATACACAGCCTGCCAATTCATGAAAAGGAAATCTAAATTCATTTAAATAACATTTTTCCATCTATATGGTGCCAAGTAGGCTAGCTCAACTGAATGCTCTTCCCTGGAGTTGTGCATCACATAGGTATACAGCTTTAGCTATGGTGATCTGAGGGGGAGGTGGGGCTTCTCCATGTGGCCCATCCTGTTCGCCTTTCATGGGCCTCCATTTCTGTGCTCAGGACGGTTCTCTTCCCCATGGGAAGGGCACCACCTTCAAAGTTTTCAGTTGACACAAGTGATCTTTCTTCATTTTAATCTACCTTCCGTGGGGCTGTATTAGTTTGTGAGGACTGCCACACCAAAGTTCCACAGACCATGTGGCTTTCAAAACTGATATTTATTTCCTCACAATCCTGGAGTCTAGAAGTCTGAGATCCGTGTCAGCAGGGTTGGTTTCTTCCGCAGTCTCTCTCCTTGGCCCACAGATGGCCGCCTACTCGCTGTCTTCACATGGGCCTCCCTCTGTGTGTCCCTGTGTTCCAATCTCCTCTTTGTGTAGAGGTACCAGTTATGTTGGATTAAGGCCCACTCAAACGACCTGATTTTAACTTAAATACCTTTGTGAAGACCCTATCTCCAAATACAGTCACATTCTGAGGTGCCAGGGGTGAGGATTTGAACATATGAATTCTGGGGGGACAGTGGGGGTGTTTCAGGGAGTGAGACAGCTTGCATTACTCATGGCTAGACAGCAACTGGGATGAAGGTAGAGGCGATTGCTAAACACCAATCAGGGCAAACCCTGAGCTGAGGGACAGCAAATGAGTATGCTGTGGATCTTGCCCCAGCATACTGCCAACCCAGTTGTACAGACAGGGCACCTACATAGAAGAGGAAAGTCAGCCCTCTAGGTTGGGGTATACCATGGGACAACAGAGTGTGTGTGACAGCTAGGAACTGTTCTGTGAGCCTAGAGGAAGAGAAGATAAAAATCAGTTGAATTGGTCATGGGGAGGTTTTCATAATAACGATAACCACCTTTTATTGAAACTCAACTATCTGCCAGCTCTCTGTACAAGCTCTATCTCTACTTCCAGCTTGGGAGCAGTGGGGAGGGTTATATGAAATAACTTACAAGTCTTAGTGTTGTGCAAACACACAATAAATGGCAGCTGTCATTCTTTCAACAAATATCTGTGCACAATCTACCATGTGTCAGGCCGTGTGCTCATTGCTGGGATATAAGATCAAGCAAGACCAACACGGTTTCTGTACTCATTGAGCTTACAGATGCACTGAGAGATGCACTGTCCAGTATGGTAGCCACTAGCCAAATGTGTCTATTCAGATTAATTAAAATGACAAATTCAGTTCCTTAGTCATATTAGCCACATTTCATGTGCTCAGGAGCCACCAATGGTTACATTTCAATCATGGTGGCAAGTTCTATTAGGCAGTACAGGAAAGGGCAAGCGAGGTAAAATCTATGACAAAGGTCATGATAAGAGACATACATACAAGGGAAGAGCTTTTATTTTTATTGAAGTATCATTGATATACAATAAAAATTGTATCAAATTGGTCTCAAATATACAACATGGTGGTTCAACAGTTACCCATATTATTCAATCCTCACCACACCCTAGTGTGGTTATTACCCATCAACATAGGCAAATGTTACAGAATCATTGACTATATTATCCATGTTTTACTACTAGCCCTGTGACCAACTTATATTATGATTGAGAACTTTTGTGCCCCTTTAGCCCCCTCATCCTCCTTACCCACCCCCCCATTCCAACCCCTCCCCCATGGTAACCACCAGTCACATATCAGATCTATGAGTCTACTGCTGCTTTGTTCCTTCTGTTTTGCTTTGTTTTTATATTCCACAAATAAGTGACATCATATGGTATTTGTCTTTCTCCGCCTGGCATATTTCACTGAGCATAATACCCTCTAGGTCCATCCATGTGGTTGCAAATGGCAGGATTTCTTTCCTTTTATGGCTGAATAATATCCCATTTTGTATATGTACCACATGGGAAGAACAGTATTATTATTATTACTATTCTCATTATAATCAAGATGCAGAAACTGAAACTCAAAGAGATTAAGCAATTTGACAAAGTTCACACAGCTACTGAGTGGAAAAGCTGGCTTGCATCTGAACCCAGGTCTGCCTTAATCTCATGCTACCTCAAGGCTGTTTTGAGGAAGAAATGAGTCAGGCACAGGTAGAATCTGGTTAAAGAGAAAAGATGGAGACGGCACCGTTGGTGTTGGGAAAGTCACAGCCTAGGCAAAGGCATAAAGGCACAGGTGGCCAAGGCTGGCGGAAGACCACGAGTAAACCAGTCTGGCTGGAGAGGCAGTGACTTGCTAAACTCACGTGTTAGAAAGGTAAGTCAGGGCCTGCCTGCCTTGACTGACAGCCAAGGAGCTAAGAAGCTTAGCACCCTGCAGAAGTTGACTCCTTGCAGGACATGAGCAGAAGCTTGGCATGGTCAGAACTGTGTGTTCTGAAGGTGATGGTGCTGAGGGTGAACTGGGCTGAGAGCAGTTAAGGATGGCAGGGGAATAGGAAGGAAGCGATACATGAATGGTGTGGAGCAAAGAACACCAGAGTGGGAGCCAGAAGATGTAACCCTAATATCTAATACTGTGTAATGTTGGACAATATACTTCACTTCTCTGGGTCTCATTTTTTTTTCAATTCTAAAGGGCCAGCTCTGGCTCAGAGGATCTCTGAGGCCCCTTTTAGCAACGGTAGTCTAGCATTTTGCAAATGTGAGTGATGTTAGGCTAAGAGAAGCAGAAGGAAGTGTAGCATGAACATGGGGTCAAGGAAGATGCAGAGCCAAAGTCATCCCGAGAGGAAGGGGGAAAGATGTACCGCTAACAAAACTAGGTCAGCTTGTGAAAGGGCCTGCCTTTATTTGGGTGGTGGAGGATCATAGGGTATGGAGGTTGGGAAGGATAAGAGGAGGTAGCGAGAAAATGAGTTAGTTCTTAAGAAAATGAGTTTGTTCTTGTTAGAGATCATTATTTTACATCCCCAAAATGCAGACAGTAAACTTTTTCTGATCCATGACTCACAGGAAATACAATTTACATCATGGTCTATCTAGTATAGTTGTTCAGGATATTTAACGGAAACAAAAGGTTTATAAAACATTTACTCTTACTAAGAGCAACGAATCCTAATATTTTCTATTACATTTCACGTTTTTGAAAGGTTGATCGCCATGCACTCAATTTATTTTATGACCAATTAATGTGTCACAACCCACAGTTTTAAAGCCACTACCTAAAAGGAGACTCCGGTCTTAGGTCGGAGGCGATGGCAGGGCATCCCAGCAAAGAATCCAGGAGGGGGCTGACGAAGTGAGTGTGGCGACACTCGGGGCTGGGCAGAGTTTGGAGACTTCAGCTGAAGCCCGCATGGGACAGAGTATGGAGACCAGCGGAGGCCTGGGAACGAGTCGGCGGTATCCGCCCGTCCAGGCGAGGGAGGCCGCCTCTCAGGACACGATGGACGTGACGATGGCGTGGCAACCGGATTCCCGCGGGGACTCAGCAACCGCCGGCCGCTGCCTGTCTCGAGCGTGCACGCGCGGCTCCCGCATCTCCGACCTCCGCGGTCTCAGCAGCCCCTCCACTCACTCGTCTCCCCGCCAGCGGGCCGCCCGCTCCTTCCTCCGCAACGCACTCCGCTCCCGGGCAGCGCCCTCCAGGTGCGCGAGGGGCGACAGCCGGCCACCTGCACCCCCGGGCGCGGCGCGCCGCCCGCCCCGCGCGCGCGCACGCCGAGCGCCGGCCGCCGCCGAGCCGCCGGGTCCGCCTGCCGGCCGCCGCGGGGCCGAGCTCGCCGGCCCCTGACCCCGCTGCCCGCAGGCTCCCCGCCCCGCCGCGGCCCGGCGCCGGCCCTCGCTCGGCCCTCCCTGCCTCGCATCCGTGCCATCGGCGCTCGATTGCGCGCGGACTCCGCGCTCCCCGCTCGCGCCCGGCCCGCCGCCCCCGGCCCGCCCCGCCTCCCGGCTCCTCCCGGCTCCTCCCGCCCCTCCTCCGCCGCCCGGGCAACTTTTGCCGAAGCCCCCACACACAGCCATGCTGAGCTGAGCCCCGGCCGGGGACTGGCCGCGCGCTGCCCGCCCCGGCTCCCGCCCGCCGCGGACCCGCTCGGGGGCCGCGGCCGCTCGGCCCTCGGCCTCGGCCGCTGTGCCCGCCCGCCGGCCGCCCGAGCCCCGCGCAGGGCCCGGCCGCGGCGGCGGCGGCGCCCGGCCCCCTCCCCCGGCGCCGGCCAAGTGAGGCGGTGATGCGGGCGCTGGCGGCCCCGGCTGCGCCGAGAGCGGAGACACAGGCTCAAGATGGCAGATGCCGACTGAGGCTGGGGGGGCCGAGACCGCGCGCCGCGTTCCCTTCCCCGGTGCCATGAACCGCGGACACCCCGGCCCCGATGGCCCCCGTGTACGAAGGTAAGGGGCGCCGCCCCCGCCGCCGCCGCCGCCCGGCCCCCGCAGCTTTGTTCTGCCCGCGGCCCCTCGCCGGGCAGCCCCCGGCCCCCGCGCCCCACACCCGGGGCTCCGGCCGGCGCCCTCCCTCACCGGGGACGGCCGGGGTCCGGAATCTCTCGGGATCGCACTTGCAGGGCGGAGAGAGGCTGGGGGGCGGCGTGGGTGCGAGGCTGGGCTCCCGCCCGAAGAAAAGGAATCGGTGGGAAGGGGGGCGCCTGCAAAGGCAGATCCGTGACTGCGCTTTTTATTTGTCATAAATAAAGGAGATGCGGCTTAGCTTTCACCCCCCCCACTCCACCCCCAAAGAAATTACCTTTAGGACCATCTCACCGCTCTGCCCTCACGGCGCCCCTCGCCGTTCTCTCCACTCCCAGCCCACACTCCTTTATTCTTGGCGAGCCTCCGAATTTGGGGGGCTGTGGAATCGGAATGTATGGGGCTGGGGGTGAGGGAGGCAGAGAGGAAAAGTCCATTTCAGACCCGGGCGGAACAATGAAATAGGCTAAAATCTCCCCGCATTGGCGTGTGAAAGGTAGTTTAGGGTTTGGAGTCGGGGAGGCGGCCGAGACGTTTTGTCGGTGGGTCCGGGTCCGGGCCCGGGTCCCCCCGCGTGGTGCACCGTCACCTGGCGCTGGGTCGCCTCTCCGAGGTGACTTGTTTTCAGGAAGCAAGGAGGGAGCGCAGGGCAGGGGCAGCGGGGCAGCGCCTTTCCCGGGCACTCCGCTCCTAGTCAGTTCTGTCAGCTTCCAGCCAGAAATCAAACCAGAATCAACTAAGTTTTTACACTTCGGTGTGTTTTTGTGTGCTTGTAGTAGAAGGGATTTTTAAGCCAGAGTGTGCCCGATTTTTCAGTCATTTCGTCGTGGAAATGTTCTTCTCAAATCATTGAAAGAGCAGCCTTTACATACTTTTAGCGTCAGTCCATCTGGCTTTCGGTTTTGTTCAGATATTCTGTGGATGAAATAGCAAATGAGAGGGGAGAGGGCTTGTGTGCAGCGGAGAGGAGGGGCGAGGCGAGGAGATTTTAATCCTTCCATAAATCCGGAGAACAGTGCTGGCCAGTGAGACAGGGAACGCATTAATAGTTTTATCTCTGTTATAAGAGGCAGATTAAAAAAAAAAAAACGTATCTGAAAAGAAAATCTGTTATTAGTTCCAGAGCTCCAAATGAATTAGGTTTCTGGATGGAATAAAGTTACCAGTCAGGCCCTGGATAATGAGGCTGTAAATAACCTATAGACTGTAAATATTTTTTTTTCAGACTCTCTTAGAAACAAAGGGGCTGTTTAGGAGGCAACAGAGAGATGTTATTCCAGGGGCTTTCCTCTTTGATTCTGAAGAACACAAGGTCCATTTAACCATTCGACAAAACAAACGAAATTTCTGATCACTCCACCGCGCAGAATAGGACGAACCGGTGCCCCTGTGAACACGCTCCGAGAGCCCATGTCGGGCATTCATTGTTCGCCTGTGTCTGTGGGAGGGGGCTACAGTCCATGCTCCCACTGTCTGTGGAGTGTTAAAATGAAACAATTTTCTCTTTATTAAGTACCTCCTTGAGACTCCCTCTGCTGGACACTCCGGGGGAGCATTAGAGAAGGAACTTGGCATTGAATTCACAAGTATAGTAAAGGCTGCTTTCCCTTTTACGAGGGGCTGGGTATGTGGATTGGGATGTATTTTGTCAACTTTGTAAAATGCCATCTTGGGAACTGTGCTGTTCTCCTCCTGTTCCTTTAGTTCTAAACCCATATGGAATGTAGGCCATTCCCCCAAGGCTAAGACTTGGCACTCCTGTTCTTACTACAGAGTTCTTTTAGTGCATTACACCAAATAAAGAGCTGTGGGTGTGTAAGTGTTTCGGTTTAAGAATGATCATGATCTCAAAGGTCTCAGGGGCTCACTGTTTTTATTTACAAGCCCTCTTTCCCTGCCCCACTTGACCTACCTGGTCGCCTACTTCAACCCTGAGCCTCCCTCAGTCTTTTCTGTGTGCTCTCTGAATGATTCCTACACCTTGTACCCTTTGATTCTGCAAGTGTTTCTCTGTGCATCTTTGTAATTCTTTTCCTAGTCTTCCTTCTCACCCCTCCCCACCAGCCCAGCATCACTCTGCCCAAGCCTAGGCCTGGGCCTTTTTGAAAGACTGTTGATCATGCTCTAAACTAGACAGGTAACCTCTATAATCAAGGATTGTGCTGTGGGAACCTGCAATCACTTACTGTGATGAGTGCTTCTGAGATCCTGGTGACCTCCTTTTTCCCTCTTTGGTGACATCCACTGGATTTGGTGAATGTGATTTTTACCGTATCTCAGTCAGAATGCATGGACTTCCTGTGTGTGTCCTGAAGGAGCAGGGCTTTTCCTGTGGAATTCTCCAAGGAGAGTGATTTCTAATAGTTCTCCAGCTACTACAAAATTGAATATGGGGTTTTTCTCAGAAGTATGATGATGACAAGTGAGGCATTTCAGCTGGAATTCAGGAGGGCACTTGTTTGTTTAAATGGGCTGCAGTTGCCCCAGGTTGGGATATTGGGAAAAGGCCTGACTGTGTTACTGGAGCATTCTGAACTGCCAGATATTTAGAGAGATGCTGTCTTTGAATCAGAGTATGTTTGATGATATGACTTAATGGATGGAAAGTGTTATCAGTCTTCCACAACTTGCTTTTAAAGTTGGGTTTATAAATAGCACTTGGTTTTCAGTGACTCGGTGCTGATTAAGTTAAACTTCTTTAAAAAGGTTTATTTTCTTTAGAAGGTTAAACATTCGTCCTGCAATTGTGCTTACTCCATCAACTTGCTTAGCAAGGCGTTTTTCAATATGTAGTGCAAAGGTCTATATTGCCACGGGTTCTGCATTAGAGGACCCTAAGTTCCAAGTCAGTTATTTTCCACTGTACCTGAGATGTGCCATGTTGATTAGTATTGGCTTACACAGTAAGACTTCCCAAAACTGTAATGCTGAAGTCTATCATCAGATGGGGCTGAGGACACCTGTCAAAATGCCACCAAGAGGTAGATTCTGAATCATCTTCCATTAAAAGAATTTGATGACACATGTTCCAAAATATCTTTTCCTGTGTTTATGTTTTATATTTTTAAAATGAGTGAGTATAAATATTGTTTTCATTCTCACCACATTTGAGTAGTGAATCAAGGCTTATTAATTTTATCCTCGCTTCCAGACACTGGGGTTCAATACTTGAATCAGAGAAACCTGGGTTTGAATCTGGACATGTTACTTAACTTCTCTGAGCTTTTTCTTTTTTTTAAGCCTTCTTGGATTGTCCAAGGATCCATTAGAAACTAGTGTATGTAAAGTGCCTGGCTCTAGTAGACATTTTCTCAGTTCGTGTTAAATCCTTCTATCTTTTGAGCTGCTCGTAGGCATGATGACTCCAGGGAGAGAATAACCACAAATAGTTTAGAAAACCAATAATAGCAACATGTCAATTATTAATCTCCTGCTATTCCTTTTCCAGCTTGGGCACCAGCAACAATAAGCCCCCCTCTGGCCACAGAAGAAAGAGCCTTTTTTGACCCCCTGTGTGACCTTTCCAGATTCTTTATTCCCACTGAGACTCTGCTGGTTTCAGGTAGAGATTTTCTCACATACTATGCCACTTTCAAAATGAGGAAACAAACCGTTAGAACAGAGTTTCAGGAGCTGCAGCTGTGCCTCTGGGAAAGTATCCCAAAGTATGAAAGATAATCTTTGCCCTTAAGCAGGGGGAGAAGAAGCACCCAGAGACAGCTCCCCGAGGGGCCAGCGCCTGGCTCATCATGCGTTAGACATCATTTTCCTGCAAAAGAAAATTTGGTGCTTTATGCAAGTTACAGCTGCTCGTATTTTCATGTTTTTTTTTTTTTTTTACATGTCTTCATTTCTCTTCCTTCTTCCCGAAGAGACCTGTCTTTGGGAACCACCTTTGAGGTTTATATGGAACAAAGTAGTGGTGATCAAGAGGGTATGATATGTGAACACTTTTTATTCTCTGAACACATAATTTGCCAATGCTTTCTGGTAGTCTTACGATGACAATTCATGTACTTCAGGTTTTTATCAAAGACAGGATTCAGAATAATGCCAGCAGACCTTATATAACCACCCAATAGAGCGTGAACTTGAAAGGCCCAAACTCTTAATAGTTCCATTTCATATGGCAATACCCTGTTGAATAAAAAAAAAAAAAATTGAAAACCTGGAGTATGGGTAGGTCTTTATTTTTCCTCTAAAGAAACTGAGATGCTTGAAGTTCACAGCAGTAATTGAAACTTAGAGCCCACTTAGCATGCTGTACCCTCTGCTCACATTAACTCACTTGGCCTCCTAACAGACCCACGAGGTAGGCTCTGTCATCCCCACTCCACAGACAGGGCACATCTTGAATGCATTCATTTAATGAATATTTACATAATGTCCCTTGTCCTAGAGGAGTGTAGGGGGTATGGGAAGTGAAAGTCCGAACCAAATGGGCTCATGAGAGAGCTTGGTCTGACTCAAGATGGAATGCTTTGTTTAGGGGTGGGGGCTGTGTACCAGTTCTTGATTCTTACATGCAAATGTTTCTTAAGGTGTAAAGGGAAGACCCCATTTCACTGAATTCTCTTGAAGTATTTTCTTTATTTGTAATCCAAAAAGAATTTCTGAATGTAGAAAATACCTATGACGAATTTCCTTAGAAATGACCATCTCTAATTTGCAGAAGTCTTCCTCTTTCACTACTGGCTTTTTATGTCCTTGTAAATGCAAATACAATTCTAATTTGCACATGCCACTTGGAGACTTTGTTTTTGGTATTCTGGGTTATAGGCTCCACTGCAGATGACCCTTGCATCATACATGGCTGTTGGAGAATTAATTCCTGGCTTTGCTGCCTGGCTGAGATCTTGTGTTCTAGTAGTTTCACAGTACTCATTGGTGAGCAGATAGATTGGGTGGCCACTCAGCAGATGACT